GTGTAGGTATGGTCGTCGCCTGCACAATCTGAGCAGTACTTTTTTTCTTTTTCCGGACAGTCTCTCGTTGTGTGTTCTTCATATTTGTAGCAGGAGAAGCAAGTTTGCAGGCTGATGAATGTCTCCTTCTTTATTTGATGTGGTGTGACTGACATGTTGAATATTAGAAAGCCCTGTTGTAAAACTTTCTCAGCCATTGACACTTCTTCAAACATGAGTATAGTCCTTTATCTTAATGACTTCTTCAATCTTCATCCACCTATTTTGGCGTTCCAGTTCTTCTTTCAGGTCTTCCTCCCGATCTCTTGATCGACTTGACGAGCAAAAACTGATCTTTTTGCTTTTTGTTCTGGTGGCATGACAACAATAAGGCCTTCATTGTAAAATATATCTCTTGCTTCTTTTGAAAGGATTTTATCTGAATCAAAGTCATCTTTACAGATTACTTTAAAACCTTCATTGGTGCTGAATATTCTAGTTAGTGGGACTTGCAGTTTGTTGTAAGTGATTTCTGCCACTTTTCCCCTTCAATAGAGTGTCCCTTATCTCTATGTTTATTTCAATACTAGTTGTCATCTTCTTGATTACATCTAATCCTACCTATAACACAGGGCTCCTGCCTGGGAGCAGTGACCCGCCCTCTTGGACGGGCGTGTGGGCTCTGCACCCAGGTTGCCTGTGACTATGGCAATATCTAAAAAAGTTGCCACCTACCAGTGACCCTGGACAAGGGGTGCCCTGCACTATCACAGGTTCCCTTGCCGGATCGACCGTATCGCTAAGTCCCGCCTCCCGTTCAAAGAACGAAGTGCATGAGGGGGATGAAAAAAGGAAAGAAGAGGACTTAGAGAGTAGAAACAGCCTACCTACCACGCCACGTTCGGTCAGCCAATCAGAGCACCGCAGTAAACGTGCATGTATCACGCCACCGTGGGGGCACCACTGATTGGCCAATCCAGGACGTAGACGCACGGGTAGTAGTCAAAATTTGGGTAGGCCAAATATTTGTTTTTTCCAAAGTTGGAATTTCCCGTACAATCTGTGATGGTAATTACACCGTCACTATGTTGAGTAAGTACAATCACTAGGATTGAGTGTCTTATCACAACAAAGTTGCAGACTCAAACATGCAGCAAAAGAATCAGGTCTTCGCAGCTCCGTGTCTATTTTTACTTAGGCTAGCATACTTAAGTTAAAGCAAACTCCCCTTGCCAATACAAGAAGGAAGAGGATTTCTTATAGTCTAATAAACAATTCATCATGACCAAATACAGTATCTAACACAGGGGGTCCGGGGGCGCAGCCCCCGGTTAGCAACTAACCATTTGATTGCATTATCTCTGAGAATAGTTAGCAATTATCCATTTGATTGCATTATCCCAGGTTAAGGGGTTGTGTGTGGTTCCATATCACCAGATTTATTAAAAAACTCACGTCCAGGCTAAACAGTTTAGGCTCGATAGTGGTGGCTGCTTGGATTATTTCTTTGTCTCTTATTGACTTCGGGTGGCTAACCTCTATAAAATTAAGGACACCAATAGACTTTGTACTAAGGTTAGGTTAAACAGACACTTTTGCTGTAATGGAGGATTTCGCCATCGGGGAGCGTGACGAAACCTCCGGCGAAAGTAATTAGTTAGGTTAGGCGGCCCAGTAGTAGTTGGTTAGTTGCCTGTATTATTATTATTATATAATTTAAGGTCCCCGTTAGACTTTACCACGGTCAGGCTAAACAGTTTAGGCTGCTTTGGATTATTTCTTTGTCTCTTATTGACTTCCAGGGTGGCTAACCTCCTATGAAATTGAGGACCTGTAAGACTTTGTACTAAGGTTAGGTTAAACAGACACTTTTGCTGTAATGGAGGATTTCGCCATCGGGGAGCGTGACGAAACCTCCGGCGAAAGTAGTGGTTAGGTTAGGCGGCCCGGTAGTGGTTAGGTAGTTGCCTGTATTATTATTATTATATAAAATTTAAGGTCCCCCGTTAGAATTTACCACGGTCAGGCTAGATAGTGGTGGCTGCTTGGATTATTTCTTTGTCTCTTATTGACTTCGGGTGGCTAACCTCTATAAAATTGAGGACACCAATAGACTTTGTACTAAGGTTAGGTTAAACAGACACTTGGAGCAGGCCGCTACACACTTTTGCTGTAATGGAGTATTTCGCCATCGGGGAGCGTGACGAAACCTCCGGCGAAAGTAGTGGTTAGGTTAGGCGGCCCGGTAGTGGTTGGTTAGGTTAGGTAGTTGCCTGTATTATTATTCTATAAAATTTAAGGTCCCCCGTTAGAATTTACCACGGTCAGGCTAAACAGTTTAGGCTTGATAGTGGTGGCTGCTTGGATTATTTCTTTGTCTCTTATTGACTACGGGTGGCTAACCTCTATAAAATTGAGGACACCAATAGACTTTGTACTAAGGTTAGGTTAAACAGACACCTGGAGCAGGCCGCTACACACTTTTGCTGTAATGGAGGATTTCGCCATCGGGGAGCGTGAC